CATATTAAATAATTTTTGTTGATTGTAATATGTTAAACGTGTGTTGTTGTTTTTTAATTTTCAGGTTCTTGAAAAACGTTGCATCATGCATGCTAGTAATCGTTGTAACATATGTGGCTAGTGGTGAAAGTATTTTATGCGATACTTGCACGTGTAAAAATTCCATAATAAATTGTACAGAAAATGGATTGATAGACATTCTAGATCTATGGGACCATACAGAAGTTGTAAAGGATGCAACCCTCATGCATTTTGATGACAATGGCATTGTACATGTGAAACAATTGCCACCTTCTAAAGTCAGATACTTATCACTTCGACAAAACAAGATAAACAAAATCGACGAAATGGCATTTATAAACTTAAAGTTTCTATTAGAACTCGACCTGAGCTACAATTCCTTGACGGCGGAAAGTCTAAATCCCGAAATTTTTAAGGTTGGTATTTTCTTAATTCTATTAAGCTTGTGTAAATAATATATTAATTATAAATTGTGTTTTATGTCTGTTTTGCAGACTAATAATGAAGATACTTCTAAACCAGGTAGCTTGATTCATTTACGCCTTGATTACAATAATATTCATTCGCTGTTGCCACATACTTTCAAAGAACTCAGTAACCTCGCTTCGTTGACACTAGCAGGAAATCCTTTAAAAGTCATTGATCGACCGACGAGTTTTGCACTATCTTCACTGCCCATGTTAAAAGTATAAAAATAACCGATTATATTTTAAGGTAWTAACTATTAACCAATTAAAAACCTAAAATGTTAACAGGTTTTAAGTTTGTCTAATACGTCTTTGCACGAGTTGCCGGATCATCTTTTACACACACCTCGATTTTTAGAAGTATTAAACCTGTCAAATAATGAATTCACGCAAATTCCACAGGGATTGGGTGAAGCACACGCGTTACAGAGATTAGATTTTAGTTCTAATCCGGTAAAAAGCATCTTGTGAGTAAATTTTATTTTTGATTGTACTATTATATAGTGACCTCTTGACCAGTGCCATGGTTTAATGTTATTTTAAAATGTTTTTATTATTAAGGAGTTTTCCAAAAATGGCATCGTTAAAAGTACTTCATTTATCGCACATGTCGGAACTAGACAACATCGGACCACGCGCTTTAAATCTTCTTAATGTTCTTGAAGAATTCCATTGCACGCATAATAATAAACTCAAATCAATAGACCCGACTACGTTTAGCTACAAACTGAATGACGGATCTGAAAGAGAATTGTATCCTCGCATAATCAAAGTAAGTACCTATAGGTTTAGTATCAGTGGTGGTTATAAGAGAGGAGGGTGATAGGTGGGACTCTCTTGGGATCTTTGATCATATTTTACGTTTTAACCACGGATGGTAGTTTATTTTTTAGAATTTTTCTAAAATTCAATATATTTTTTGGTTAAATTAATTTGGAATGTAATAATTTTTTTWAAAATATGATTTTTGAGAATTTTCTWACATGAGTAAATTTCTTAAATTGTTTACTTATCATATATAATATTAAAAACAATTGTCATTCGTTTAATAATTTATTTTTGCTGATCTTTCTGTTACACTTTGTATGGCTGCAGTATATTATTATATATAAAAATGCTCTAAGAGGGATGAGGGGTGGTTTTATTTTCACCCCCCTTGAACATCATGTATAACCGTCACTGCTTAGTATCTACTTTAAGTTTATTASGATTGTTTACGTATAGGAATAACAGTAACTTTTGAGTGTCTTTGTTTATAGTTAGATTTGAGTTACAACGCTTTAGGATACTTGGATAGCCGTTTGTTGGATAGATGGGACATGTTAGAAGAATTGAACTTACAAGGCAACAAGTGGATATGCGATTGTGTAAATCAATGGCTCGTGTCTACTTTAGCTCCAATGGCAGAATCAAGACACCCGGAGTTTCTCTATGATTTCACGTGATTATTATTATTAATGTTTAATTTCGGCGGGATAATACATTTTATAAAATTTGATTTTAGTTGTCAAGAGCCAATTGAAATGAGTGGAATCTCAATTCTTGATTTAGATCATCGTCATTACCATATGCGTTGTTTGGATTTCTACAATAATCGTCCCGAAAAAGACGGAATATTGTTAATAGGAATACTGATTGGCGTTATATTGACGGTACCATTTACGATGGGAATTATGATGTGCTGTGCAAAACGAAAAAAATCACTGTCTTACTATCATAGGATATTTAACCAAAATAAAATTCCTTATGCATATGACTATCAACTAAGGTAAATTCAACATATTTTAAATCTATTTAAAGGAATAAACGAGTCACACAATGAAACGGTGGTTAACTACTGTATATAGTCACGATGTTGAATAATTTTATTTTGATATTTGTGGGACAGCGATCTGAACATAATATACCGCCATACCGAAAATAATTTATTTTACCGTAGTTAAGGTACTCTTAGCACTATATTTCCATTATTTCAATTTCCAACTGCACCGCCTATATCAGATTATAGATATTTTTTTAAGCTTTAATACCTTTTAAAATATGAATGATGACTGAATAYTGTTGGCTTTACTCACGGGTCATCAGGGATCCTTAAATAATCAAAAATGCATAATATTATTATGATGAGATTTCAAATATTGACATTTCCCAAGATGTTGTTTATAATATTATTATTCAYCATCAGAGAACTCCTTTGATTAACTTTATTCAATTTAAAATGTATAATTATCAAATCAGTAGTAACTAATTGGTAATTATCCATTTAATTACCTATGGCATGTCATGTGTCATTGGTAAACCCAAAT